AAAAATGGAAATAATCGAAAGGAAGATAAGTGAGTCTAATCTAGAGGATGAAAATGGTGTGTTTGAAAGTAAAAGTATACATTTTTTAACCCCTGTAGGAGTATCAAATGTAACAATGTCAAACATGTTTTCCAAAACTTAGAACTTACTAACCACACTACTATTAGATGATTACTAAAAGATGATTAATAGCCTATTAATTAATGTTGGATTGTTTTTTGAAGGAGATTTATGTTTTCAAAACTAATAATAAGCCCATAATTATTAGCTATACAATAACTGCAACCCCACCACATTTTAAAATAACGTACAAATATTCTCGTCACATGTCAAGTGCACATGTACGCTTTTCAAATAGTATTTGAAGTGATTTGTATTACTATTATTATGATCTGTGTTATTTTTCACAGGGGCTGACATTGTTATGTGAAAACAGTCTTCGAGAAGCACAAGGTTAATTTCATTGACTCTAATGGCTTCTTAAATTTATTTTTTAATTTTCCTTATTCCATTTTCAATTCTAACAGTAGTAAAACATACACTTGTTGCATATCGATAACTTACTTATTAAGTAGTAAAAACAATACCATTACTGATTATCCTGAATTTGGCATTATGTTGGCAGTGAAGATTGAATTCAAAGATTAAATAAAATGAGAAACATACATTTTGACATTTAGCGATAAAATTACACTTCTCTAAAATATGATTTGTGATTTTCAATAATTATTTATAGCCCTTGAAATTTATTTCTAACGCTTTGGGATTTACCTTAGAAAATAAATATTAGTTTATCTGCGTTTTAACACTAACATTGCAAAATACAATAAATTGTGAATTGGAAGTATGTTCAGTAAAAGGCCAGCTGACCATATGAGCATATTAAAATAATCCCCACATGTCAACAACAATACAATAATAAAAATTTGAAAATATAAACATTCCAAAGTAAACATTCTGGTTCAAAAAGTGCAATTTTTATCTCTTGTAATATCGTTTCTTTGTGTAACATAATTCATTTCTCTCTCCTTTTATTTTGACTTATTTCATTTACCTTTTCCTTTTGTGTTCATTAAATAAACCTTTTTTAATTTGACTAAATTCTGTGTACCGTGAGAACATTTGGACATTCATGAAACATATCTTCTCAACTAGAGACAACATTCGACCAGATCTTCTTTCAAGACCTTAATAACGTCAAAGTGTTAACATAACTATAGTTCAGTGTTAAAAATTATACCAAAAGTCCATTATTTTCTGTTGTCAAAATTAAATTAATAACCCATATACAGTTTACTTTATTATTTCTACAATAACCTTTTGATTACGCTACACCGTGGTCCCAAAAACCTTGTGTAGGTAGGTACCTAACAATGCTATTCAAGGAGGAAACTAAATCAAAGCTGACAATGAGATGTTTTTAGACAAAGAGAGTCAATAGCTCGTCGCTTATCTCTGTTTTGTGTAGTGAATTAAAATGTCATATAAATTAATGATTGGGTAAGGAAAATGAATCTTTGCCATGAAATTGATGTAAGGGAATATTATTTTAGAAAATAATTTGTTAACAGATAAATTTGTAGTTAAGAAATCGTTAACTACAGATAGGGTGACAAAAAGTCTGGAAACGGCTTAAAACCGTTTAACTAAATTCGTTAGAAAATTCAAACTTTTCACATCAACTTATATGTATGAAAACTACTTTTTCCAAGCATTACCATTCTTTTACCTACACCAGGGGACGTTACAAAATGGATGGCAGTAGTATTGGTAAATACTCGTATTAAACATTAGATTGAGAGCTGAAATTATATTTTAAAGGTCAACTAGCTCGTAGACTAAGTGTATTCGATCTTCAAAACAAATTTTACCGGGTTTCAGATTTCGCAGCTAATGTTGACTATGAGTATTTACCAATACTAAGGCATGTGCAGGTATATTCCGCAGAACTTTGGACTGCCGCCATTTTGTAACGGATTAACCTTTTTTGACGTGGTTTCCGGCAATGAACTCCACTTGACTAACCCTTTAAAATGATGTGCATATCAACATATACTTACATTAAAGATTTTGTATCTACTCCTCATGGGTCGTCCCCTGGTAGAGGTAAAAGTAGTTTTCATACATGTAAGATGAGGTGAAAGGTTTGAATTTTCTAATAAAATTAGTTAAAAATATATTAAGCCGTTTCCAGACTGTTTTGTCACCCTGTATAGAATAAACGGCCACCAATAAAAAAACCCCTCATAGATCACTCCTAAATTATTTATTGTGAACGTAAAAATAAATCGTTTAAATATTTTGAAAAGTCTCAGGGTTGTGCAGAAAAGTTTTAAACTAACTTTAGCCTCAACAAAGGAAAGGTGCATAACTCAAACTTTTCCCGAGGCGTAGAATTTTTTTGTATGAACAAAGTTTAAAACGAACTTCATGCAGTGATAAGCGTGCTATAATTTCTGATTTCATAACCTCAAAAGTGCCATTGGTATTTTCATTAAAACCATCAAGTCCATGGACTAGACCAATCCACGGGCGTGATTGCTGGTAACGGATATGACGTATAAGTTTTACGTTGACGCATATAAATTGTATTTATTGTATTTTAGTAAACTTTTACTGACATTTCTATCCAACAGTTATAAGGTCTACTATATCGGCCTACACCATATATTATTCTTTGTATTTAGGCCTCATTAAAAAGTCTAAGTTTAATAGACTCAGAACTTACACATCTGCTTAAATGACACATTAATATTTATTCCAATTATCAGGACTAAATTACCATATGAAAATAATTGATAGCAGACAGGCCTAGTGAAATTTCAAAAACGAATAAAACGGATTGTTCAGAAAAATCTGTCACTAAAACTTTAGTGACCTTTTATTTGAGTCCTCTTCCGTCTTTCTATGACTTACCAAAATTTCTAGCCAAATTTTCTAAAATTTTCATTTTAGTAGCCAAAATTTCAAAAAAAAAAAAAAAAAAAAAACTAAAAAACAATGTTAAAAAAGTAGTAGTTAGGTAAAATATCAAACTATAGTTGTGCTAAACTAAATTGTGAAATTTAATTATATTATAAAATAAAGTTTTACTTATATAATATTGAACACTAAATTGAAGAAAGAATAATTACATAATCCTGAAGACAAATTTCTTATAGAAGATTGGTGATAAATTTCAATTTGGTTACTAAACTAAAACTATGGACTCCTCCAGCATCCATTTTGGACTAGACCTACCTCGATTAAATTTAAAGTCAACCAAAGGCAAGAAAATTTCATCAGAATAAAAATCTTACTTCATTATTGCTTCCATTTAATATTTAATTTACAAATTTATTGAATTTTATATTATGCCTCAAGGAAATCTTTGGATTCGTCAGTCCACACCAATCTCTTGAAAAAATTTGTCTAACCTTTGTTTGGATGACTTTTATGTCCCATTAAACATTGTACTTATAAAACATCTGTCCCTCGTCATTACTATTATTTAGTTGAGATTATAATAATTAAACAATTAAAATAACAAATATAGAGGTATATTTCATGTAAAACGTAAAAGCAAAAATTGTTAAACTTTATACACACCAAATCTATCCAACTAGCTCATTATTTGAAATCTTTCAAAAAGCTATGGAAATTAAAGTTAAAAAATTGGATTAATATATTATTCAGTTTGGATTGGAAAAAAGGGAAACACTTTTTAAAATTTTAAATTCAATAAAAATAGTATTCTTGAAAAAATAGGTCCATATATTGTTTCTGAGAATATAGAGGATAAATAATTATTTTTAATTTTAACCTGAAACCAATAGTACAGGTGGTAAACATTATTTTGTGTCTGAAAGGTTACCATTGTTGGAGAAGTTCCTCCTTTCCACTAGCTGCTTCAATTTGTTTCTTATTTAGCAAAATATAGCTAACCTGTTCTTCCAAGGTATGAAAATATAGCTTTGTGTGGTTGTTAGAGTGTTATTGTGTCATCGTTAGCAGTTTAAATTGCTGATCTAGTAGTAACAATCTGAGTCTATAGTAACTCTAATTATCTTAACCATAAATATTTTTGTATATAAAAAAAATCTTCCTCTTCGTATTCATAGTAGTTATAATTTAATCCTTAACTCAAACAATTCTTTAGGTTTTGTCTAAGTCATCTTTAGTAATAACCACACTCAAAAATTTATCATTATAGGTAAAGGTTTGTCATATCCCTGAATCTCTCTTTACAACATATGTCATTTCAAATAATGGTAAAGACAAATGTTTATTGTTTATGTTTACACTTTTACATTATTCAAGTTAGTAGTTCATTACAAACTATTCAATTATACACATTAGTTAGTGAATAAATATGGTTTACATCTTATCCAGTGTGAGTATTTATCAGTACTTATAATACCAGGCCAACCCGTTTGAGTCACAACAAAGTTCCTTACAGACTTTCCGATCATGTAGTATCATTAATCATCCACTGTAAAATAAGACTACACCATTTATTACAACAGAGATTGACAAATAATGCTACCAGCTTCAAAAGCGGTAAATCTTTGTTGTCATCAGTTATAGAATTTCCAAACGCATTTTACGAGTCTGTAGTATAAAATAGAGATCATTTGACAAATTGTCTTCATATGTTAAGGATAAGTACATAAGACAGCAAGCTAATTACATTTGAGAATACTCTCTTTTAATCTTTTGTGACTTTCGATTGCTTGGACCGATTATTGTGGCCAGTATAGCTTATCGCCAGCGGGATGAGCTTTCATGTGTAGATAAAACAGTTTTACTCAATTATGGTTCACTTATTAAGAAACACATAATGATCGTATGAATTGGCAAGAAATGGTTCATACACAACAGTAAACTGTCACATATTCGTTATAAGCTTTTGCTAAATCATTTAATAACTTTAATCACATTCTTAAACAATAAATGCCCGAGGACATTTCTTGAATTGATACAAATACTAAGATTTTGGGTTTTAAAATTTTCACAAGAAGTATTTACTCACTACTTTTAATTGTACTGACAATTTGAACAATGTTGTTTCTTAGTACAACATAACATGGCTTAAGTATCATTTATTCATCCCTGCTACATACCCTGAACCTAATTATGGAATAAACAGAATTTCTTTGAAAAATAGTGTATTTATTAAAACATATTTTGCAAACTATTGTGAGCAAAGTAATTCACAGTGTACATTATAGTGATTAAAACTCCCTAAGGACAAAGAACTCTTGCACAGCAGGCCGGATACGGCTTCATCAGATCTGTTTTCGTTTTGATACATTTGGAACCTCGTGGGATGGAAAAGCTTTGACATCTGCAATTAAATTATTTTAATAACAAATGTTATATTATGGAAATTACACAACTAGGTATCTATATGAAGTCCTTTACAGAACAATTACTAATAAACTTATTGGATGGCTTTTGAATCACTTAATATTTCACAACTATTTAATATAAATCGAAAGCTAACCGAAATGAATGCATCCCTTTATTTTCCAGATTGCGTTTCGATGATAATATGATTGAAATTGATGTTATGTGTAATCTACAACCCACGTATTCCTAATGTTAAGGTTTTTCACTGAGAATCCTGAAATAAATATTGTTTTAAAGTTTTGAAAATTAATATTTAACGAAGAGAGACCTGTTCTTACCCGTGTGACTTGTATTAAAGCAGCAACTTATCATTGATATACCGTGTATAGTACAGTTTACAATAAATTACATTATCTAGGAATATAAAAGCTGTAGGACTAGTAGTGATTATAAGATGGTGAAGGAACTTACGCTTTTTTTATAAAAAAATTATCTTTGGCACATTTATAGCTGATACATTGACCAATTGGATTATATTCATCTCCAGTCTTTATAAACTTGTTGTTTATCATACATCCACCTAAAAATCCACAGTTAAAATTTTTAATAATGAAGTATATCAACGTTTGAAATATTTTTCTTAGTTTGCAGTTTTGCAATACTGTTTTAGAATTTAAAAATTCGTATCCTTATGGGCGCGAGGTGCTCTCACATTTCAATTTCCCCCTATAAAAATGGCATAGAAAAAGTTTAGACCAATATTTTAACAGTTAATCAGTTTTGTAGAACAGAAAACGGCTCAAGTTCAAAGAAGACATTTTGAAAACATTTAGGAGCCAAAAATAATACGAGAACTTATGCGTATGAGAAGATTAGAAGAGCTGAAGAAAAGAGACCTGGTCTAAAAGTAAGGAATCCACATACACATTCACTTGGAGGGATGAATAATGTTTGCTAGTTCTGCTATGAATTTTAATTTGGAAATGAAAAGGTTACACTGTTTTCACGGTGGTACAATAAATTTGCATAATGTCAGATCAAATGAATACATGCAAAAAATGTTTACTGACCTCCAGCTATTTGTAAGTCGGAAAACGTTGTAAAAGACACTAAAAAAAGCCAGCTTCTAAAAAATTGTAAACAATTTTTTTTGTGTTTAGATTGTTTACATCTTGGCCCCTTACGGCACATTTTGTAATCAATGTTTTTATACGACTTTAAATCTTGGGCACTTGTGTAGAAATATCCCTACAATTAGGTGATCCCCAATTACTATTAACTAACTGGTGTGTCGGTGGCTCAGTTGGTAGCGTCACGGACTTCGGGTCCAAGCAGTGATGTCGTGGGTTCGGATCACAGAAAACATACTACTATAACCTAATTATGTTATAGTAATATGTTTTCTGTGGTTCGGATCCTGGTCACTGCCACAAAAGTTTTATCAGAACAGTTCACCTTTGTACTGTACCGACTCACCCCTTGCTTTGCTGGATACGTTCCACGCACAGATCTGTAGTCTATGTGGACGGGAGGGTAAAAAAAAATTAACAACAACAACTGAAGACTAAAAAGAAAAAGCTGTTACAACAAAACTAAAGTCATTGTAAGAACTTGATAATGGTAGTACGACTAATAGAAATTATATGATACACCTGTCGGACTTAAGAAAAAACTTTAAATGTTGCAAATACATTTCGTCCCTTTATGAAAACTCTGAATAAATGTTTTAATTAATATAAAACTTTTAGTCCCGATGTATAAAGATATTAGCTAATAGGAAACATAGCACAAGATTATTATCTCATTACATAACACCAATTTTGTTGAAGGCATCAATCAACAAACAAAAAAATACCCCCGCTGCGCAAACCTGCCGACTAAGGCACATTTCCATTTGCCTCGATTGATTTTCAATTAATCTATTAAGTTAACATTTATGTTCATCGAGTACCTACAGGGAAACTCATGAAGTGTGTTTTTTTATTAAAATATCAATGGCTTGGTATGAAATAAACAATTCCACTATGTTTAATCAAAATATACCCATAAACAAGCCAACTACAACATTTTACAATATTCTCCATTAAAATAACATATGAATTTTTTATTTAGCATTTTCTGAATTTTCTCCGTAACCAATACACTTTGATATACTAAATTATTTGTTTTTTTAAGCTCTTTAAAAAGGCCCGGAGAAAAAGTTATTCCTACATTTTGTGTTTTGAAGGGAAAAATGAGAAAAACCCATTTTTACCCCATAAAACCCCGTTCCAATGGTCCGTCCGATCATGATGGTTCGCGAACTCATCCAAGTTTATCCCGCCTTACACCTTCAAACCAAATTTTATCAAAATTGGACAAAAATTAGGCTACTCAAGTTATCGTCTAGATGGAAACACATATACATATATACAGTGTTTCCACATATATATAGACAGTATATCTCACTATACAGGGTTAATAAAAAGTCTGGAGACCCCCTGTTAATTTTTTTACGGACCATACTAGAAAAACTAAACTCGGCACACCTTCATGACATGCTATGAAGTACTTTTTGGGCATAACCGCTACTTGGTGTGCATTCCCAAAATGGGGGATTTTGGGGAAAACTCAAAAATTTCAAATGGTAAGACCCATCGAGTGACCCCTCATTTTAAAGGTCGTAATAAAATAAAACTTGCGTTGTCAACTAGAGGTCTCTATCTCAATCCGGTAAAAAATATCAGCTGATTGAAGTCTTAAGAAATCAGAATGAACTTGCAATTTTATATTCAATTGGCTTCTTTATTTTACTGTGTTAAGATAGAGACCTCTAGATTGCATTGTTAGTTTTCTTTATTACGACCTTCAAAATGAGGGGTCACTCGATGGGTCTTGCATTTTGAAATTTTTGAGTTTCCCCCAAAATCCCCCATTTTGGGGATGTACACCAAGTGGCGGTTATGCACAAAAAGTACTTGATAACATGCCATAAAGGTGTGTAGAGTTTAGTTTTCCTAGTGTGAGCCGTTACAAAATTAACAGGGGGTCTCCAGACTTGGAAAGCTGTAAGTTAAATTTAACTTCTGAGAATTTCAATCGGCTGCCATGTTTTACTGGATTGATAAAGAGACCTCTAGTTTGCGTTTTTGGTTTTCTTTAACGAGGACCTTCAAAATGAGGGGTCTCTCAATGGGTCTTACTATTTGAAATTTTTGAGTTTCCCCAAAAATTCCCCATTTTGGGGATGTACACCAAGTGGCGGTTATGCCCAAAAAGTACTTCATAACATGCTATAAAGGTTTGCCGAGTTTTGTTTTTCTAGTATGGTCCGTTAAAAAATTAACAGGTGGTCTCCAGACTTTTTACTAACCCTGTATATTGATTTATGTGTGTAAAAATTTGAACGAATGGTGTTTTTGGCCTCTGGGGACATCAAAATAAAAAAAAGTAATTCGGTCTGCAGCTAAATTAACAGAGTTTTACAGAGTTTCTTCGTTTTTAAATTGTAAATAGTTTGTACCTTTTGAAGTTTGTATCTTTATTTTAATGGGTCTGATTTTACTTGTTTAGTTTTAGTGACTTTTGCCCTGTACATTTATGTATTATTATGGCAATAAAACATTCTGATTCTGATTCTGAAATACTACATTATGCGTGTCAAAAAGAGAAGCGAATTATGACGTTAGTTATCTTCAAGGGTTACAAATGTGGTCCTAACTTATTCATGGGGAAATCCTGGTAATAGTAACAATTAGAAAGTTCTTATCTTTGGGTCGCCGTTTAGACTTTCCTATTAGCAAGTCATTCATAGTAGACTTTTGAAGTTTTCTTGTTTTAGTAGTGCTGTCCAACCTCTCTGTAAGTGCGCGTTAGTACAAACAAGTTTGTACTATTGCTAGTAGTTCTTCAACAACACTATGTCGTTTAACGAACGTGAACGTAAAACACTTCTTATGATGGTTGGTTGGGGAAACAACAGACGATTACACGAGGAAGCGTGCCATTTATTTAATGACTACTTCCCCGAGAGGCAGCCAATTTGTAGAACAACTGTAGGGAGAAGTGTTCAACGATTTATGGAAACAGGAAGTGTTTCCGATCGTCCTAGATCATGATGGCCAACAAACGAGGACAACTCTTTAGATGTCTTGCAGTCATTTATTGAGAACCCGTACGGGTCCCTACGCTCAGCAGCACAAACTCATGACATCTCTGTTAAGTCTGTTCAAACCGTTCTGAAAGAGTCAAATTTTAAGCCTTACAAAGTTCATTTGGTGCACGAACTCAACGAAGATGATTACGATCGACGTATAGAATTTTGCGAAACTATGATGGCTAAAATAGATGGCAACGAAATTTATGTAAACAATATTGTGTTTTCAGACGAGTGTACATTTATGCTGAATGGAAGCGTAAACAGACACAATTGCCGTTACTAGAGTAGCGAAAATCCTCACTGGATGCGGGAGGCACACACGCAATATCCACTAAAGGTGAATGTCTGGCTTGGCGTGATAGGTACCAGTTGGTAGGTCCTTTCTTTATTGAAGGAAATTTAAATGCAATATCATACTAACGTTTGCTAGAAAATGAAATTACCCTAGCACTTCGAATCATGTTTGGAGAACATTTTCAGAATATCTGGTTACAACAGGACGGAGCGCCCCCACACAACGGCATCGACGTCAGGGCCTATTTAAACTCTGTTTTTCGGCAACGGTGGATCGGAAGGGGGGGGGCTGTAGAATTCCCGGCGCGTTCACCAGATCTGTCTCCATTTGACTACTTTGTTTGGGGTTACCTTAAGGACAATGTCTACAAAACAAAGCCTCAAAATGTAAATGAACTGAGGCAAAGAATACTTCAAAAATGTCAGGCGATTCCTCAAGTTGCCCGACGAAATTCTGTTAATAGTTTTTATCTGCGTCTTTCCAACTGTCAAAAAACCGGAGGTGAACCGTTCGAGCGTTTACTCAAACCTTTAAACCTTTTTTAAAACCTTTAAAAACCTTTAAACAGCCGCCGTGTTGTACTGGATCAACCTTTTTTAATTCGCGGTTTGCGCCATTAAACTCTACTAGCTAAGTACTTTAAAATGATGTGCATATTGACCTATGCGTCCCTATGATATGACGGAAAATTCATAGTTCCTTAAAAAAGTAAGATTTAAATTTAAGATTAAAGTTAAGATTTAAAAAGTAGATTTTTAGGTGTGGTGTTGATATACCAAATTTTATTGATTTATCTGTTGTCGTTTAGAAAATATTAAGCCCGTGCGGGACTTTATATACACCCTGTATATCTATGGCATTATTTTTTTGCCTAAATATGTAAACACTCACCGGATCTTGCTTCAACGTAGAAAATGTATAATAGACAAATGCACAGAAAAGACGGAACTATTTTACACAACATAGTGAATATTCCTTCGTCAATGAGAAGAGAGAAGAGAAAACATAGTAACAAGACTCGCTTCGTCAGATTTTATGAGTTTCTAATTAACAATGTGAACATTGTGAAGTCATAAATAGTGAGTAATGCCTTACTATTTTTATCTCTTTGGCACATTAACTGGGACATTATGAATAATTTATCTATATTTTATGTTTGAACCTATTGTTTGTTTTTATCAAATATCAATAGCAATTTATGCAAACGTAAGCGTACAATTAACACTTATGATTGTTTCGAGTAATAATTAGAAATAAATAATTTTAAAAGTGGATACCTACATTGTTCTAATATAATAACCAGCACCATACGACCCGCTTCAATTTGAAAACAAAAACTTCAACATTTAAATGTTATTTTACTTTTCACCAAGCAACGCATTAAGTCTGCATCGTCTTTTTAAACTAAAACGGATATCGTAATTCCTCAGTGCTATTGCCATTAAAATTTAGTTTTGTAGAAAACTGAGCCTGGCGATCTTAATCATATTACAAATATTTTAACTAATTATATGTCACAGCGTTAAAAGTATAATATTAAATAGTTTATTTGAAATTAAACCAATATTAATTCAAACGTAGTATAGAATTTAACTTAATTTTATTACCCTAAATAAAAGTGTGTATGTTTTCAATTTCGCAATTTTACATCAAACTACATTTAAAATGTTACTTGATTCAGTTAAATGGTCGTATATAGGTATGTGTAAATTTTTAGGAGTATATAATATAATCATCAGAAAGGGAGACAAAAATAACTTAAAAGGATTGTGTTAAAAGCATTTAATTTTATCCCTTGGTGTGCAAATAAATTTGTCTCTTGTACTTTGTTTAACAGATGTTGTTATCACATGTTATATTCTTTATCAATTTTGAAAACAGTTTTTAGTAATTCAATACACATTATTGTTCACATCACAGTGTTTTTTTATTCATTTACTATACATTATTTCTATCAAATACTTATTTCAAGAAGTTCAATCACAACAAAACAAACATATTGTTTTCATTTTTTCAATATTTGTTCTAAATTAATCTAAAGGAAGAATAATTTGCACTACTGTGAAATAACCTGTTTTCGTTACCTGTATCAACTACGAATATGCATAATTACATTGTTTACTACGACAAAAGAATGTTTGTTTTTGTTTTGTAATCTGTTTCAATTTTCAACAACGAAAACTGTACAACCAAAGTAATTATTAACTTCAAATTGAAGACACAACCTAAATATGCTATGAGTTTTGTCATGTTCCTAATTGTGAAGAAGTATCCAATGTCTGTTTTAATTAAGAAAATAATTATTATCTGTAGTATAGCGAAAAGCAATGTTCAAATCACGAGTGACAGTGGGTCTATTACATATTCTCGACCATTTAAAGTGCTTGATAAATCTTGCACTTCAAACATCTTTCATTTTCTAATCGTGTTATGAAATGTACTATTAAGTAGACAATGTATCACTTTCTGTTTAAAAAATACAGCGATATTTTCTGGAGGGTAATGCAGTTCCGTCGACCGGTAAGTAGGTTAGACGATAAACTTTTATAGTTTTCTGCGACTATCATGAACCGAGTTGATGACTCTCCTTGACTTTTAGTCTTGCAACATTTAAATGTGCAATTGAGTTCAAAGTTTGTATACAGCCATTCTTTTCCAACTGGCCCTCAGGTAAAAAAAATAAATTTCACAAATCAATACAAAAACATTATAAAATTGAAGTAAAATACCTATTTCATTTACTTCAGCATTTTGGTTAGTTAAAAAAATATTTAATGACTTTTTTAAGAGTTACCCAACCTGATGTACAGTAGTCTCTCTCCAGACCAAACATTTGACTTTTTTCAGGCAGTGAAGAATAAGAACATTAATCACATGGTTGTTTTACAGTTTGTGGATTAGAAGGTTATGTCTAGAACTTCAAGTTAAACTACTATTCTCACAAATTTGATTGTAAGTATTTCTTTAAAAACTTATATCAACTTTGGCTATATAATGTCACATCTGATACACGTAACTTAAAAAGTTGTGTTTGAAGAATCAATTATTTTTTTCAATAATTGAAAGTTTCTAAAAGTATGTAGAATTACAATACCATGATAACCTATTATATGAAAAAAATGTTTCCTTTTTGTTTTATCATAAATAAATGTTGAAGTTCTGTCACATCCGATACATTATGGTCTGAATGTAGTGACCTTAGACATTATTCTTCACTGTTACCTAATATAAATGTTTATTTTTAGGTTAACATGGATAAAGTTAAGGTGAACGGAATGATGAAGGGCTGGAGAGAAATGGTGCAGAGGAATAACCCGAAAAAATGGAAAGAATGTCTAGAAAAAGATAAAAACAGGAATAGGCTAAACCGGGAGAAGCAAAGAAAAACAATTGAATCATACCAGAACCTATTATCAGAAAAGAGGAAAAAGGACAGGGAGGGACAAGCTTTGTATAGAAACAAGAAGAAAGAAACTACAAAATTATTATGTGCTTCAGAAGAACCTAAGCTAGGAACCTACAAGAGCCCTCGGACACTTGGTAAGGCAGTTAGTAAAGTAAAATCAGTTCTACCTAAGAGCCCTAAAAAGAAGAAAGTCGTGATGAAACATTTATTAGAGCACACCTTTGGTCCACATGTTGTAAATAGTCTTTTCAAATCCAAACAAGCTGGTTCAAAAAAACTTACTAAATCTTGTATTGATGCGGTAAAAGAATTTTATTGCAGAGATGACATTAGTCGGTAAGCACCTGGCAAACGTGATGTTAAATCTGTAAAAGATGCTATAACTGGAAAACGGACTTTAAAACCTGCATTGGAGCTACAGAAGTCTTTTTAGGGGTGATGTACATAATTGGTCTATGGTGTCTGAAAAATTTGAAGGTCCCTTTGAATTTGGATGTAATTTATTCTAATTGATAACAATTGTTACTATTTTATTTGTTAACATTTCTTTCAGTTTAAAACAATCTTTAGAATATATACTGCTCTCTTTGGAATAACATTTTATTCGCAATTTTATCAGCAATTGAGATTGAAGAATAAAAGTTAAGTCCATTAAGTTTGACAATCACTGTACCGATTCCAAACAAACAATCAAAGCAAGATTAGCTCTGTTGAAAATTTTAAACTAACCAATCAGCTGATTGACCAGCAAAATCTTAAATGGTTATGTACCTTCTCATAGTTAATTTAACTCAGGTCTATAAATCCTCATATAATTTATATAAACCTAATGCAAATAAAATACGTTACAAGGATCTCATGACCTTAAGTTGATATGAAAACCTTCAAGATTTATTTATTTATTTTTTATTTTATTTTAGGGTTTCCTATATATTGTCTTATTTTTGGACGCTGTAATATCTATCTTTTTTAGCTCATATAGAGGTGTGTAAATAGTTAACATTTATATAAATCACTTGTGACTGCTACATTTCTCATTAATAAAAACAGTTTGGAATTTCAATTTTAAACTAGAACTGTGAAACTATGGGAATATTAAAATTTTAATTAAGAAAAAAGAGTAATGTTACTGAAATCAACTTATCTAATCTAACGTTGCACCAGTAGTAGTAACATTGTTGAACAGTTGAAGCAACATTTTCCACCATCAAACCAAAAAACAAATATTGATTAAATGTTATTGCTCAAAGAATGAAGACTCCGAAGCCCCTAGAAACAACATACCACTGGCTGAGGTCGAGACAGTGGAATCTCAAGAGGCTGAGACAAATGATGATGCTTCATCAAGAATATCATCATCAGAGGATTGGTTGAGCAGATACTGCTGTTTTTTTTTTTTGCCTTTTTTAACGGTAATTACTTACAAGGCTTTAACTTAAGAAGACTTGAAATTGGTGTACTTCTGTTTGTACAAGAAAATAAACGGTCCAAAAAAGGGTGAAAATTAAATATACGATGCTTCAATTTTATTCTGGCAGGTGAAGTGGGAAGGATCATTCATTCAGTTCGGCCTAAGTTTTTGTTTGAGCGACCGGTCTGGCCGGGTCTAGGCGAGGGGGTTGGCGGCGATACTTTTGTGAAAACATCTTTGTTCTTACAAAACATTTGTGGTTGATACGGACAGGGAAAAGTCATAGAATTATGACAAAGTTCTGGAATTTCTCCTGAAAAAAATAACTTTTTCAGATATGCTACATTTTGCTCTAAACATAAACGAACAAGGAATCAAAAATGGACTCATTTTTTCTTAACATTGGTCTCTTTATAAGCATAACAAGTTTCATAAAAATCAATTGAAACCCTTCAAATTTAAATGTTTACATATGAAAATAAAAATGCCAGATATCTGAGTATATGCATGTATGTTAAATTAAGTTAAGATAAAGCAATTCGCTGAGAATATTAATTAATTTTTACTATAATATAATATTTCAGCTCGAGGTAGCAAGCAGAATAAACCCCGAGAGTTATGGGCTTGTTATTGGGATAAACTGCAGCTTAAGTCTTTTTATTCAAGTTATCATAACAATCATGGCAGAGATTCAAACTTTTGTGAGCCCAAGCAAGGTTGGGCAACATATGCAGATATTAGCCTGTAATATGTATAAGTTTAGTTCTGCTCTCTCAACCCACACCCACATCAAACATGGTTCAAACATGTTTGTGTCAGTTTTTCCCCTCTCACCTCTTCTCTTGTGTAATAAATTAATTATCTATGTTATGTGTAATTTATGTTAAGCAATGATTAAAATACCTCTACCTTTTAGTCTAGCTCCAGATTAAAATTCATTGATCCCAATCTGTCTGGTGTCTATAAACATTATATAAAATTGTATTTTTATTATAACAGATTTTTCAAGTTGGGTGGAATGTAAATGACATAACAGCAATTTTTTCAGTTGACCTGCATTGGAGCTACAGAAGTCTTTTTTAGGGGTGATGTACATAATTGGTCTATGGTGTCTGAAAATGTTGAAGGTCCCTTTGAATTTGGATGTAATTTATTCTAACTGATAACAATAATTGTTACTATTTTATTTGTTAACATTTCTTTCAGTTTAAAACAATCTTTAGAATATATACTGCTCTCTTTGGAA